GGAAAAAATAACTCTCCTCCAAAACTACTCGAGTTTTTATGGAAGGGAGGGAAAAATATTAATATAGTTAAAACTTTCACCAAGCATCTGAAACTATTTAGAGACCAAGAGGGAATTAAATGTTTCAATAAAGGGTAAAGGAAAGCCAGTAACCAGCTTTCAAATATCCTGATTTCTGGATATGGCTCTGCTGTGTACTTCTGAAGGAAAGGAGACTTTGGATCTGTTTGCATTTAATAAATGTCATATCCTTACACGAGAATGGGAGCCAGATCTTGGCATTGCATTCCCACGTCTTGCCCTCTTCCTGTCTCCTGACCTCTTCTCCTTACAGTCTCTGCTCCAGATGGCTTTTTCTTTTCCCCCAAAACATCTCCAAAATATTTCAAGTTCTTATTTATTATTTTAAATGAACAATATGTCAGATATAACAGAGCTATATAGTATTTTCATACTACATTTTATCCACTTATGGGCTACGAATACAAGTTCTTTAACTGTGATGTTGCCCAAAACAAGCAGGATTTGGAGGTCCATTCCCATCCCTGCTAAGGGTTAGAAAAGTCATCAGAGGACAAATTCTCAGAATTGGCTTTTAGTTTGCTTGTTTATTTGTTTGTTTGTGGGGTTTTTTTCTGTTTTTTGGAGCACTTCATGTGGTCATCTAATGTTCTGGTTATCTAATGTTTACTGGAAAATGTCACTAGTTCACCAATTAAAAATAAAAGTTAGGCAAAAAAATGGAGGTAGTTCCAGCTGGGATTCTCTGCATTTTGATTTCTTTCATTTATTTATTTTGGGTTAATAATTTTAAAATTAATTGCCAGCCTTTGAAAAATGCCCATGTTCTAAAGCATAAACTTACCTTTCATGGGGGAGAGGAGGATGTGGGGAATGTAAAAGTGGGGATTGTAGCTATAGGGGATGCAGAAAATGGCTTGTGAATGTGATGAGGGTGAGGAGTAAGGGTTTTCTTGGCAGCAGCACAACTAAAACTTATGGAAAGTTTCTATCAACACAGCACTGATCTTTCTAAAGATCAGTTGTTCTGGCAGACAAGGGGCATGAGACAAGAAGGTGGGTAGAGATGAGAACTGAAATCTGGAGCAGGAGAAGAGGATAAATTTGAGGAGAGCCATCCAGGCTGCAGAGGTTTGAGCACGGTCTGCAGGGGATTTCTAGGGCACATTTATCATCTCACAGCTCCTCAGCGAGAGGAAAACCAGGGTTAAAGACCTGAATAGCCTGTGAGGTTTATCATTCCCTGAGTCTGGTTGCTGAGGCTTCTTCCAGTGTTCTGTGGAAACCCTGTGGCTGAGAAGGACCTCAGGCAACAGTTTGATCCACCTTTCTATGTGAAAGAAGGTGAGATATATTGTCCTTCCCTGCACATCTGCTCCTAAGTAATCCCAGTGATGGAGGTTCCTCTGTGGGTCCCATTCTGGAATACATCCACCCTGGGCCTGGAAGGCTGTTCTAATTAGAAGTCTCCAACCTTTTTTTGCAGCAAATTAGGCCAGCTTCGGTTTTTTCCTTTACCTAGTCACTGCGATAAGCTGTTGACAGCCATCCCTCTTGCAATAAAGTCTTACAAATGGCATTTTGCAATATTCCAGTTTTCTTTTTTTTTTCTATAGGTGTTAAGACGTGCTTTATGTATCATCTTTAGTAAAGATGCACTAAGGTAGGATTCTTTCACCATTTCTTCATATGTTGTGTTTACAACATCTAAACTGCCAGCTGGGTAGCTCAGGAAGAGGGGACTAACGCTGCAGAGCTGAAGGGAAGCTGGTGGGATCCCTGATATCCAGGAGGGGATGAAAATATGTGGCTTAAAGTACCTCACATTGATCTCAGACATCAGGATTGCTGCTGAGAATGAAATTGTTAATGTTTTGTGGCATCACCTACCACAGGAATATTGTGGGTTGCTCAGGCATGAGGTAAGGGCTAGGAGAACACAGTGACTAAGTTTTCTGGAATAAATCAAGCACTGGCTTTTTGAAGCGTGTAAATTTTCAAAGCACAACAAAACAGGGATCTCCATTCTCTAAACACAGCAGGTACCTTCTGTGTCTACAGATTTTCTGACTCTAAACTGGAAAGGGGAAATCTTGGAGAACTGCACTGTTGATGACTCATATTTAAGATAAAACATGAGTTTTTTAATAGCAAGAAAAATTAGTCATCAGTGTAGGCTAGCCAAGGCTGTAGTAAATGTTTTAGCCCCCTGGGACTGGAAGAACTCTTTCTGCTCCTTTTCAGTTGCAAATTATTGAGTTCTGTAGGATCACTGTAAGGAATCTAGGACCTGCATTTTCTATTTCAGATTACACGAGACAGTCTCTTCAGACCACTAACCCACAACTATCCATTGAATTAAAAGCAAATCAGGCAAATTACTGATATGCCAACACTATGAATATTTTCTTTTGCAATTTACATTGTTTCACATAGTGCTAGACACTTCCCTTCCTTACCAACATAATTTAAGGCCAAAATAAGATGTGCTGTGTGTTTTCTTAGCGCAAGAAAAGAGTGCCCTTCCTCTACAGCATATCTGTAGAAATCACCCCCATGCCTTGGAGATTCCTATAAGGAAGAGCCCCCTTCCCACCAAAGGGTTAGAGGGTCTGCTAACCACATTTTTTTACCCAAATGAACATTCTTATTATGCAATAAGATTGCATACTTGCACTCTTTTCCTTGCTTCCTTGTAACTTTTGGACCTACTGACCAGTTTGTGCCCAATTTTCACAGAAAGGAAGCAGTCACTGTGATACCAGCTCCTTCTCTTCCTGCAGCTTCCTGGCATCTGAGCAGAGGAACAAGGCTCTAGTGTTGCTCTCCATCACTGCTGAGTGAGCTCCACATTCTGTAGACACCCAAGAATCCACATGAAGTTGTTAAGGGCAGCCCAGCCAGCACTGCTGGAGACTGCACTTGGTGAGGTGATGCTTCCCACTGCTTTCCAGAGGGAGATCCTGGCCTTGGCTGTGCTTTCTGGCCAGGGCAGCCAAGCTGGCAGGCAGGGATGAGTCAAGAACTGCTCTGTGTGCAGCAGCAGCTCCAGCTCTGTGCCAGCCACAGCCCCCAGTGCTTCTCCTTCCTCCCATGTTGTGGTTAGCACAGCATCACCCCAGCCTGACCACAGCCTGTGCAATGTTCCCTCCTCCAGAGCAAAGCCTTAACGTGCTGCTCCTGGTGGCTCTTCCTTGCTCCTCTTCGGGACAAATAGCTCTGAAACAGCAGATTTTTAAAAGGAGGTTTTATTGCCAAATCTCAAAGCTCTTTACAAGCAGGAGACAAAGTGCTGCCTTTCCACGGGCTGCAGCAGCTGCTTCTCAGATCGTCATCCACACTTGCTCGCTTGCAAACTCACTTCCTTCCTGTCACAGACCTGTACCCTGGTGGCACAGCCCGAAACACACTCACACCCCAGCACTCCATGCCCAGAGGGCTTTCAGGCACAAAAAAAAACATAAAAAAAACCCCAAATAAACCCCCAGCCTTAGTGCAGCCAGGAATTAGATGCAAGTTTAAATGTAAGTTTAAAGGAAGATTAAAAAAAAAGTGCATGGTGGCTGGCAGGATGTTCACTGAAGATGGGAGTTGCTGTAGAAGACTGAATGTTTTAGGATGAAACTGTTAAACCTATTAGAAAATATAGTTAAAACCAAGAGTCTCAGAAGGAGAGTTACTGGGTGCTACAGAGATTCCACTTAAGTTATACCTATTTACAAGACATAATACAAATCTAGTACGTTCTGTTAGTACAGCATATACAGTAATTAGCTGTAGCTTGTAAAATGATTTAACTTGCCCATTTCCTAACAGATATAGGGTATTTATCTGTTAGGATTCCTACTGATGGGTATTCAGTAAAATGTCAGACATTTATTCATTAGAATATTCAGTATAATATAAAAATATACAGTAAATATGAGCACATCCTCTAGGTTTGGCTGTAACAGATAGGGATGTCTGGATATTTTCATCAGCACTTTGCCAGATGAGTATCCACAGTACACACTGCCACAAGAAAACACTTGTGAAAGCAAAAAGCATTTGTATATAAATTAGGGGACTGAGCTACCCCATAAGCTGTTGGCATTCTCCTGGATTTCAGTTCCAGCCTTTGATTTGCCAACCCTGGAGTTTAGGACTGGCTTCAGCTTTGGGATATGAACCTGTACCCAGAGTTTGCCCTGGTTTGTGTATATTCCTGTTAGTGTGAACTGTTTTTTTTCCCATCTAATTTATCTCTTGCTATAGAACTGCATCTTGCAAAAGCCTGCCCGCTCTCTGGAGCTGATGTCCCTCGACTTCCAGTGCACACCAGGTTCTGACAGCTCACATTCATACCACACAGTGTTCGGTAAACAAAAGTGCACATGCAGAAAAATACATTTAGATAGCAGATAGGCACTGAATTATTGTCTGTGTTCTTAGCCCTTGTCCTAAGTGTGTCTGGAAAGGTGAATATGACCCACAGTTCACATTGACTCTACAGCAGCAAATGACACGGATTCAGAGCTTGCTCCAGGCTGTGTGCCTGGGGGTGGGCTTAGGACATAGGAAACTTTTTTGTCTCAAAGCAAAGCTTTTTGGCACCTGAGCCCTGAGTGTTTGACTTTGTAGAATTTTCCACTAGATAGAATAACAAGTGAATTCCCATGTGATGTCTCTGCCTGTCTTGAGAGGGGGACAGACCACTAAAACCAAGGCTGTTTTAATCAAAAGAGACAGAAGCATCAGTTGTAGTCACTACCTGTCTTACTGGCTCCAGGTGGTGAAAAGTAGGATGTTTGGAAGCCCAAAGCCAACATTTCTATGCTCAGACCTGAAGTGCCCACTGCCCAGCCTAAGAGGAGGCTCAGATGAAGCTTTACAGCTGCTGTGGGGGTGTTTGCAGCCCACTGCAGCCTTGTGGGACCTGGGAAATTAGAAGAAGAAGAAATGGGTGAACTAAGAGGGAAGTGCTGGCAAATGAGAGAGACATGTTCCATGGGAAGAGGGATCTCATCCAGACCCGCTGCCTGATGTGCCTGCTCCTGTCAGTTTCTTCCTAAGACAACACTAAGGGAACGCACATCCCCAAAGCTTCCTAGTGACAGCTCTCCTGGGGATCTCCCAGAGTCAAGTTCTCCAAATGCCTGGCTAATTGTTCCCAACAATGCTGAGGGGGATTCAGAGTTACCAGATGGGTATGGTCCTCAATAATAAACGTGTTGTGCTGCTAGAAGACACCTTCACAGGCCAAGTGTAACCTCAATTTCCCTATTAATTTAAGAGGAACAATCAATACCTGCCTGGTAATGATGCCTTGAGACTTGTGTTCACGCAGGCAGTGCTTAGCACACCTAAAACTCTGCAGGACCAGACTCAGAGTGCCTTCATACAGCTGCTCCAGATCAGGGACACTACTTGGAGCCAGGAATTGGCCAGTTTGGTTTGCCTCTGTGTGAGGTCACTTTTTAACTGTGGATGTGGTTTTGAGAGTGTCTTTGGAGAAGATTAAACCGTTTATCTTTACATTCCTAAATGTCACTGGGCCAGGTGGTCTGGGAAACCTTGCCAGCAAGTGAACAAACACTGTCTACATTTATCCTTACATGATTTAACTGGGCAAACCAGATAGGTGCCAGTGTAATCTCGTATCTGCTTGTCTTCAAATACAGAGAGACGGGCTTTTGCTAGAATAGCCTTTCAGCTCCTTTCAAAAAATCTGGCTTGGTCGGATTACCGGTAATTTTTAAGGCCTGATCCATTGAAAGGACTTTGGACAGAGTCCTGGAAGAGCATTCACATTTTTGAAACTGTTCACTGTCCTGTAACCTTCTGCTGTGCTAAGAGGATTAGAACCAGACTGGTATGTACAACATGAAGAAAGAAAGATGCTATAACTGAAAGCTCAATTCTGCCCCACAAACATGGTGTGTGCACAGCGAAAGACCACCTTTAAACACTGGCCTAGCAATGGTACAAATCATAAATGGCAAATGTTTAGCTTTGATTTTGAGAAAGAAGTCTCTGCAGAGTATGTCAAGGAGCACTTCTCCTATAAAGAGTCACTAGATCCTTTTGCTTTTCTTTCTGTTTCTGTGTTGCTTCTTTTTTCAGTTCTCCAAGACCTTTAATTTCTTGCAAAACTTGTGTAGCTTGACGAAGTTGTTCTACTGCCTCATTGAGCAACGTCTCTGCCATCACTGGGGGTCCGTTCCCCTCCTGAGCCTGCTCCAACCCTTCACGTAAAACCTTCTGCAGAAGTTTTTCTGCCTTTTCCCTTTCATTAGCAACTTTCTCCTCCATTTTAGCTAAGCATTGATGGGAATCCTTCAGGAAACCTTGGCCTGCAAGTGCTCTCTGTTTATTTTTGGAATCAGACAGCAAGTCTCCCAGAGAAGAACTGCGAAGCTTGAGACCTGAAGTGCATTCTGTAGAATCTTTCTTCTCAATAGTTGCTTTCACACTTTCGTGGTCTGTTTCTGTAGCTAAGGAAGTCTTTGTCTCTTCTGCTGAAGTTTGCTGTTCCTTCTCAGCAGCAGTTCTCCCATTTCCTTCTTCTGTTTCAGTTGCTGGGGATGTGAACTCTGCTACCTCGCTGGCAGAGATCCCATTCACCGGAGACTTGGAGCTGCCAGACTCCAGCTCTTCCCCAGCTTCCAGGTCACCATGGCTGGAGTTCACTGTGGCAAGCATTTTCTCTGACAGAACCTTAGGAGGAACAGGAGGCTTTGCAACATCTGCAGCAGCAATCTCAGCCAGGTTGTCTTTGCTGTCATCTCCTGATGATTCCAAGTCTTCTGCCTTTTTAGGCTCAATGGTTGGTTGGTCCCAAGCTACTTTTAGCTTGTCTGATACATTCTTAGGAAGTGGAACTGGAGGTTTTGCTACAACCCTGTTGCTGACCTCAATGAGGTTCTCCTTGTTTTCCTCACTTGGTGCTTGGGATCCTTCTACACTCTTCTCTGGGCTTACAGAGTCCTCATCCTTGACATTTACATTGTCCTTTGATGTGACGCCTTCTTTAAGCTTCTTATCTGGAGGCATTGGAGGAGACAGAGCTTTTTTATGTTCCTGGTCAGGAACATTGTTCTCTGCATCTTGATTTTCTCTTGTGCCAGTGGGTTTTATAGGTGGCATAGGTGGCTTTGGAGTTTCTTTCTGAGGTGGCTCATTGTCACTTTCGCTGATAGTGGAATCAAAAGTCGGCGGTCCATTGTCTACTATATCCAGATCCAGTCGCAGGATTCCATCGGATGTACACTTGGCAGCCTGAAGTACAAGAGAGAAAGATTTCAATATCTATCCCATCATCAGTCCTGTGCTCCACCCTTTAACTTCAAGTTAAAGCGCAAAACCCTCACAACCAGCATGGCAAGTGAGGCATTGCTGCTTCAAGCTGAGAGAGTTGAGAAGAGAAGGCTTCAGGGAGACCTTAGAGCCCCTTCCAGTGCCTAAGGGAAACTTCCAAGAGAGCTGGAGAGGGACTTTTCACAAGGGCATGTAGTGATAGGACAAGGGGGAATGGCTTTAAGCTTATTAGGATTAGATATTAGGAAGAAATTTTTTACTATAAGGGTAGTGAGGCCCTGGCACAGGTTGCCCAGAGAGGCTGTGGCCTCCCCATGCCTGGAAGTGTTCAAGGCCAGGCTGGATGGGGCTCTGAGTAACCTGGTCTAGTGGAAGGTTCCCTGCCATGGCAGGGGAATGAGATGAATTTTAAGGTCCCTTCCCACACAAACGAGCCCTTGATTCTATGAAAAGCACAGAACTTATTTTACTACTTCCTTTGAGAACAACGTCTCAAAGCCTGTCCCACCATAACCATATTTCTTGGTTTTCCTGAGGGTGCTAATGTTAAGATCTGCCATATTTTTATCACTTGTCCTGTGGTGGGTGTATCCCTCTGCCCCCTTCATTTACAACATGCCTACCCAAAGGCTCACCTGCTTTCTGCTTTTGAGACTGTCATATTTTTACTTGATAAACCAAGTTGATCTTTAGATTGCATGGCCAGGGATACTATTGTAATCCTGTTGCCTTCTGCTTGCTTCCTCCAACCTGATGTCATCCCCATCTTACCAGGGCCAAGCCTCAGCTGGTTAAACCTCCTTCAGACCACAGGCTGTGTGCAAATAGCTCTAGTAAGGAGGTTTTCCTAAAACGGGTGGACTTAACAAAGACATTGCAGTGTGTAAGCTCAGTGCCCCAGAGGGAGAAACGCGGTGACAGTTCCTGTGTGAGGGAACCCAAAACCACACAAAGGCATAGCTGCAGGCTCCTGCAGTGCAGGGAGTTTAGTTAAAGTCTCTCTTTGCATTTCCAGCCCATCAGAGAGACAGAGACAAGCTGCATCCTGGCCCTGACCTCTCCTCACCTGGCCTGCTTCGACACTGAAAATCATCTTTCATCCTATTTCCTTCATGGATCTGCAGCCAGCAGCTGTGATACACATCTTTCTGCAGGCTCTATTCCCCCCCTTTCCCCTCACTCCTGCTTCTGAATTTGTAAGCCAGTTTCCCCTGATTTTGGCTGAAGGTAAGAGGTCTTACAGGTATTAACCTTGGAGATATCTTATGAAAATAGTGATCTGAGCAGAGGAGAGAGATGTCTTTAGTGCCTAGGGAAGGGCTTCCCACCTTACCCAACCCATATTAGGCAACAGAGAATCCACACTTCACTGTTGCTGTGACTTTTGTCATGTTTTCTTCTGCAGTTTTATGGAGGAGTGGATGAGAATCTACGATTCATTCCTATGCATTTCTCTGGAAGAGACACTCTCCCTCCATTTCTATGCAAAGTAAAAAGTCTCAAGGCATCTCATTTTCTGCACAAGGGTCATCTGAGTGCTGTGCAGGCACATAAGTCAGAGTCTTGGAAGTTTGAAGAGAGAAGGTTTGATTTAAAAACCTTCCTTGGTTGAGATTAATGCTCTGCTCAATTATCAATCTGTCTGTGGAAACTTTTTCATAAATCACAGGAATCAAACATTAGTAAGAACCTTTCCCATGGAAATGAACTGCAGGTTTATTTTGTGGTTTTGCTTTTTTTTTTAAGTGACAGATCCAGAAAATCAGTTAAGAGTAGACAGGTTAGTCCATAAAACTGCCTGGGAGAATAATGTATTGTGTTTCAGACCTCAGGAAGGGCTTGTAAGCTTGAAAGCTCACCTGCTTTCTCCAGTTAGCTTAATAAAAATACAACTTCTCCCCACAGACTGTGCAGTTCTTCTACCTTTAGACCACTGTGGCTACAAAACCATCACGTCTTAGAAAATAAATACAGGAGCTTCAGTCTCTTCTGATGAAAATGAAACTATAATGGTTCTCAACAGATGGTGAAGCAGCTTATGAGTTATGGAAAGCTAAATATATGGTAACTTGTCACAGAAGATACAGATCTATGGGAACTTGGAGCTTCATTAGAGGTGGTGGCACAGTCTTTCCCAGAGGAAGTCATTTCCCTCATCAGCTTTCTCTGAGCTGCACCTCGGGTTTTCACTGGGGTTTTCTACCTAAGTGGAAGGAGCAGCTCTTGGTCATCCCAGCTAGTGGGATGGCTCACTGCAGGAGGCTGCACTTACCTCCTTTAGGTGACTTCTTGTGGGTGGTCTGCGCCCGTGGGACACCTTCACCCTGTCCCGAGTTACATGGTCCAAGGAAAGGCTCTCGTCTACTTTCACCTTTACCAGGGAAAGAAAAAAGCAAGAGGGTCATTAATTTCTCAAGATATGTCTATACTTACTGTCACACATGAAGGGATGTGGGTGAATCACCACTAGTCTCTGCCTCAGAGCTCAGTTACAGCCTGCCTGCAAAGCCCTGCATGTACATGATGGATATTTAAGGTCTCACAGGTTTGCAATGGCTAAGCTCCCCTCCACCTAAGGGGCAGAGAAGGAAGAACACAAGGACCTTTGTTGTCCTCGCTGCACCCCAAGCTTGGATTGGGTCCTGCATGTGGCAGAGCACAGCACCAAAACTGCTGTTGCCATCTTAGAGGTGAAAGCTCATTAATAACCATGACCTGACGGTGAACTGTATCAGCAGTGCTTTGTTACAGCCCTTCCCTTCCACAGCTCTAATGACTGCAGGATGCTGAGGAGAAGGTGTGAGCAGTGACCTGGATTAATTGCAACTCCAGCTGAATTAACAAATTTATTTCCTGGAATCAGATGAGAAATCCACTGCCTCACACACGTAGGGGGGGAGGTCCCAGCGCCCTGACAGGTAGCTCTCTGTGACCACCCACCCACCCACCCACCCACACTGTGATGGCTGAGGGCTGGAATCTGCTCCATGCAGAGGGACTCCAGTGACTGTGGATGGTGAAACATCTGCATGTTCGTGGTACCACAAGTTTGTACAATAGGAAAGCTGGCAAGGGTGAAATAGGAACTTAAAGGGAAAAATGGGTCCCAACCTCTGGCTGATATGGCAGAGTGGTTTTACAGCTCTTTTAGCACAGAACAGCTAATCCAAGCCAGCTGAGGGCTTGACTCATTAACCTGTGCCTGGCCTGTGTGGAAACACTAAATCTGAGGTTTGATCCTTACTGGAATGAATGAGAATTAGAGGCTGGCTCCCTCTGTAAGGAGGATAACCCCAGATCACCAGGCAGGAAGGTGACCTGAGATCCCACCTTGCTGTGCTGCTGAGGGGTGTGCAGAGTTCACTGCCCCCTGTACCCACCTGGTTTTGCCCTCTGCGGAACAACAGCAAAGCCCAAGCTCTCAGAGTTCACACCTCTAGCATTGTATGTACAGCACTTAACCCTTTTCTCAAAACTTTTACTCATTGCTTTGGTTTCCTTTGCTAAACAGATGTTGCTGATTGTTTTGCCCCTCCTTACCCTGCTCGTTTTATTCTTGTGTCATTCCCGTGGTTTTGGTTTTATGCACTTCCTTTCAGTTACTGAAACAACTGCAGAAGAGATGCTGCCCCTTTGGTTTAGCTCAGGGCTGATTCACAGGCTAACAGGGAGCAGGGCAAGGTTGAACAGGCTCTAGGATGTGCAGTCTTCATCCTTCCCTCTGTGCAGCAGGATGGGAGGAGAATTAAGGAGTGCAGGTGTGCTGGGGCCAGCTGAGAGACAGGCAGGTTTGGCTGGGGCCATGGAGTAACTTTCCACCAGACTTGTCTCTAGACTGCAGGCGGAATAGCTGGTGGACTGAGTCACTTCAGATTTTTCCAGTCTTGAAGACTGGGCTATATCCTAACCAAATACCTCCATTTCCAGGCTGCTTGGTGTTGAGGATCATGGCAGCATGGGGAAGATGTGTCTCTCCAAGCTGCATCCCAGCTCTACACAACTCAGCATTGCAGCTGCTTCTCTGCACCAGCTGCTTCCATTGGGAGAGGGGAACTCCTATGAATTCTCTGATCCCAAGCCCACTGAAGCCACCAAACCACCTCCCACCAACTTTAGTGAGCTCTTGTGTCCTTGGGCCTCTTGATGTCAGCTCTTAGCAGCACAGTCCATCCCTCTGGCACACCATCTACTCACCCAGCTGCTTCTGCCTCCCTGCATCTAACCCTGTCAGAACAGAGGGAAAGGCAGCAAAGTGTAGGAGGGTACAAATGGCTCTTTCACATGTTCTGCCTTCTTGAGCTGGGAACTGAAGAGGCTAAAAGCTCCCAGCCTGAAGGGAAGGAACTTGCCTGGCTTTGCACACTGTCCTTCTCTTCCCTTGGACCATGGCTAGAATGCAGGGAGGACAGGAGAACGAGGGTTCAGGCAAGTTCTGCTTTTGGCTAAAGGAGCTGTGGATGAGAACTGACACAGAAGCACAGGAGTTTGAAAACTATTTCTCTTACCTCATCAAAGATTTTGTTTTTGCCTCTGTTGATCCCCTCATTAAGAGCTTTTATCCATGATTCCTTTTCTTCCAAAGTTGGAGCTTGAAATTTGATATCATGAACCTGCAAGAGCAGAGAGACAATTTTTGCCTGAGCATTCCATGTCAGGACCAGAGGTAGCTCTGAATCACTTCAGTTTCTATATAACTTCCAGTTCCAGCCTGTGTTTAAACTACAGATTCCTTTGCGCTTTGGCATAGCTCCCATGAACAGGATTTTGTTATGCTGAACAGCCTGTTGCTGTAGTTTTATTTTGGTAACTAGTAACTAAAGTAGTAAGAAAGTAAATTTCTTCCTTCTGCAAAACACTTGGAATAGCTCTTAGAGCAGCAGTGAGTGGTACAGCAAATGTTTACACTGTGCACAGAGTCAGAGTGAAAGTCCAAGTCATCTTGGGCTGGTTCAGATGGAATAAAATACTTTATCTCCCACTTCCCCCAGGCTGCAAGGAACAGAAAGAAAGGCTGCATGCAGTGGGCTCTGCCTGCTTCCCTGTTCCTGTGGCTCTGCAGAACAGAGCTGATATGGGAATCCAGGGCACTGACCTTGGCTGCACTAACCCTGGCTCAGCTGAGCACGCACACCATGAGGCACAAGGGCGATATAAATGAAAAAATTCACTGTATCTTCTTCTGTTTGCAAATGAAATCCAGCAGTGAACGCTACAGAAATGAGCTCTCTGGGGGGCTGAAGAGCTGTCTTATGGAGAAGAGAAGAGCTGGCCATACAAGAGGGAGCTGGCAAGATGCATGGGTCACAAATAAGGAGGGAGGATGGATGATTGCATGGCCTGTCCTCCAGCCAGCCAGCTCTTCCCTTCCTCTAGGGCAGCCCCATGGCTTTGCTCAGTGTTTACAATCTCTTCTTGACCACAGCAGGGACAATAGGTAGGGCGTTATTTACTTCACTGCTGTTTTCTCTGAGCACCTCACCAGAATTGTGTAGCTTTGCCCCAGAGTACACTTCAGGTGAGGGAAATATCCTCACATTACAGGTGACTCCATGGCAGACCAGCTGGAATCCAAACAGCTCCATTCACAGCTAATCCACACTGCACAGGCACACAGGAATACTCCCGTGCTAAAGAACATCAGCAACGTTGCAAAATCAAGCCCCTAAAAATGAGACACTCCCAGTGTTTCTGGGGCTGTAGGGATTGTCAGCCTGCTGTGTGTGTCCCTCCCAGCACCATCCCTAATGACAGGATGGCACTTCTTCCTGAGTTATCCCATTGTGTGTTTTATCCTCATGGGTCAGTATATCTTACTGATTGCACTCTGCTCCGGCCCTGCCCTGAAAACAGGATTCCTGATTCCTCCGTCAGTCTTTTTCCTTTCCTGCTTATCACTAAAATATCTGGGGGCTTCACAAGTTCCTTTTCAGAGCAACTGAAATAATCCACCTCTTACAGGTGTGGAAGTGAGATACAGAGAGGCTCATTCAAAACATACTGGTGGGGTCTTGTTTGGAATAGGTTTTGTTCAGGTATTTAACATCCTATAGGTATTCCTGATCTTCCCACTGCCTTCTACAGCAGTTGTAGTCTCAGTCTTTTTGTCAATGAGGCCCCACATTCTGAAATCATGGCAGTGTCTATATAAAACAGGGACTATATTAAATGAGGGGGACAAAGCTAATGGTGACTGACAGTCGAAGGCTCTTAGCAGCTCCTTGTTCATGGCACAACAAAGCACCAACTGTTCTGGGTCTCAGCAGCTTCTGAAGGGACCATCAGAAATTCTGCAGAACTAAAGCCTGATCTCCTTACAGCCACTCCTGCTGTTAGAAACCAACTGTTCTTCCTTATGTATTTATTCCTCATGTTAATGCCATGGATTTACATCTGCACAGCCACAAAGTGCCAGACCCTCACAACACGACAAGCAGGGAGTTAAGGAGCAATTTGAGGAAAGATTATTTATTTGATGAGTTTGCATAGAAGGTAACAGGACCACATCCCTTCCTGAGAGTTCAGAGGAGAGGATAGGGCTTGACCCACAGCCCTCTGGAAAAAGAGCCCTTTGTCTGGGGTGCAGAAGGGCCACTCTAACCAGGGAACTTAAGGGAAGGCAAGGCTCCAAAATGGAGCGACGGCCAGATTTTGTTTTAGCCCGAGCTGGCCTGGTTTTGTGTGTGCTTAAAAACTTTTTTTGTTTGGAAACGATTTTGCCCCAAAGCTTTGTGATTATAAAAGCTTATGAGAAAGCTCTACTTGTGAGCAGCTGAGCTGCTGCACTGCCTGGCAAAGACCTGGCAGCCTGCACCAGGGTTTACAAAATCTCCGTACATGTTGTTCAAGGGAAGGATTCCTGCCTCTCTTCAAGCTTCCTCTTCCAATGCCACTTTCTGTGCCTCATTCCAAATAAAGCCTCCCAGACTGTGACTAAGCGCTGGTGTCAGCAACTCTGTGGCAGGGCAGAGAGAACCTCGGGAGGGGGTGGCTCATCGTTAATGAGAAGCTGAGATGTCCCTCTGGCATGCAACCCTTTGCCATCAAATGCAAATCCAATGGATAGTGAGACAAGGCAGGAAGGAGCCGGGGGAGCTGGTCTCAGTCGTGCCTGTAACTGGGGCTCTCTGCACTACTCTGAGACCCCCAGGTTCCTTACAAACAAGGAATAAATGAATTTATCTTGTCTTTTCTCATTTGAGTATTTACAAATATCAGCAGATGCACCTGAAGATGGATATTTCCCACAAAATGTTAAGCTGGGTCTGTTCTCCAGCAGGAATTTAAAGCAGAGAGTCAGTGACACCAGTATAAAAGGGCAGCAGGCAGGGTAACACATTTACACTCCTTCTTGCTAAGCCAGCTGAGACTGAGTCATGCCATAAACAACAGGCTGGTGTGCCAGGAAAAGCTGTCATGGCCAAACCTAGTGACCATTGTAAGCCCTGAATACAGGCTACGCAATTTACTGTCAGTTGCTCAGAGCACAGCACGGCCAGTCAGCTCCTGCTGAATCACTGCCGAGATGTCATGAAACAAGAGCTCCCACACGGATCACTGTCCGTGACGGCAGCGGGCACAGGCTCCCTGACTGCTCCTTGTCTTCCCCAAGACATCAGTCTCCTCAAGCACTGACAGTCTGATGGCTGTGCTGAGCCTGCTTTCCAGGAAAGAGAAGCATTCCCGGGGTCAGGCTGTTGTACTTGCACTGAATGATTTAACAGACAAGCTCTGGAGAACTGTGTAGCTGCAGTTTAAGACCTTTACCAGCACTTGCTCTTTGCTGAGCAATTCTGCTGATCTGCAGCAGAGGTGGGCGACAGAAACCTGTGCTTGCTCCTCAGCTGTTCCAGTGCAAAGCCTTGTGTTGGGGCTGGGCTAAGCTGGACTGTGAACTGCTGTGGGGACGTTGACTGCTGACTTTTGCTACAGGGTGGTCACCTCCAGCAGAAGCTGACCAGAGCTGGGTCAGTAATGACTTAAACCACCAAGAGTGCAGCAGAGTCTCTCTCCCAAATGTGAGGTCATTTCCTGCCTTCTTCTACATGAATTCATCTGGTTAGATCATGGAGGAAAAAGTGGAAGCCGAGGGACTCCCTGCCCATGGCAGGGGAGTTGGAACTAGGTGATCTTTAAGGTCCCTTCCAACCCAAACCATTCCATGATTCTGTGAGATGATTGTCAGAGTATTCTGGTGGTTTTCTGCAGCTGAACCAAGAGCTACCTCATCCCTGGGAATAACACAGCATCTCTGCCAGACTGGCAGACCCCAGGAGCAGACTCCTCCATGCCTCACTGCATTCTACTGCAGTGTCCAGGCTGGGCCCCTGGTGAAGGCAGTTCCAGGTACCTAACAAAGGGAAAAGTAAGCAATGGAAGTTTGCACCCCTGACTGCAGGTGTCTGGCCATGCTAGGGAGGAGCTGTAGAGCTTGCTGGTGGACTCTTTCCCTTACTATCACCCTCTTCCCGATGTTAAGACTTCCCTGCAGCTGAAGGCTTTCAGACCCACTGAATACCAGACTTGTGCCAATCTCTTGTGCCAGTCTCCAGGCACTTTACACCAAGCATCATTTACACTGCTTTTTGCATGGTGAGTACATTTTAAAGTCCCCAGGCCAAGGCTGGTGCCCTTTCTTAGAAGGCTAGCTCTCTGCATCCAACAGTTTTCATTTAATTGCTATGGGTGGAATGAGGCATTTGAGATTTCTAAGCAGAACAGGGCTTTTGCACACTGCCAGCTTCCCTCCCTGAAGAATTGAAGCTCAGGGGGCAATGCTTTCTTTCAGTTCCATACCAGTGCAGGCGTGTGACATGCTCATATTGTCACAGCTTGACACAAATGTCATCCTTGTGAACAGGGCAAGCAGAATCTGGGGTACATCCATCAAAAGTCAGCGTTTAGCAGGACAGTTTATTTATTCAGGTGAAACTTTAGCAGCCAAGTAGTTTTAACTGACATTCATCTCTGCTCTTCAAGAATATCCCATCCAAGATTTAAACTGGGCTCCCTGTATTCAAGAGGGAGACTTATTGTGCACTGAAACAGAAATGGCCTTTCCTAGCTTGTTCCTAAGTCCCAAAAACTCACTGGATTTCTACCTTCCTCAACATTATACTCAGGAGATGGAGAAAAAAAATAATAAAAAAACCAACCTAGCAAGATGTGGTGGCTCACGGGGTGATTTTAAACTGTGGATGGCAGCAAGCCTCCCAAATGGAAAATGTTTAGCTGATATATATCGCCACAGCTGCGATTTCAAAACAGAAGAAGGACAGTTGTGTACGTTGGCCTCCTAATTGAAGCCTGTACTAACATCTGCCAAAGTATGTTGTGTGTCAACACCCTCACCAGATTCCCAGCCAAAAGGAGGGTGGGAGGGGAGCTACAAACAGGGAACTTTTCATTTATAAAAGCCCTTCCTTTCACCAAAAGAGCCTTACAAAAAGTAGCCTCTATCTAGGTCTTCATTGAATCAGTGGCATGAAAAAGAGGGGAGCTGTAAACTTGCCAGCATGCCAAAGGGATGAAGTTACCCTTTTGGGCACAATTTGGGCATATTTTTCCCATAGCAAGAAATAAAAGGTTTAGGAACAGTCTCACACCCTGTGTTGATTCATGGAGCAGTACAGAGACATATGCAGCTATTACACACTTCTCTCTCAGTGACATACTTGCAGATAATACTAATTCCTACCATGCTGCCCATCTCTGAACACACAGGGTTTTATTGGCCTTCCTACGAATAGGTGTGCACTTGGAATTACAGAATCCTAGAATGATTTGGGTTGGAAGGGACCTTAAAGACATCTAGTTCCAGCCCTTCTTCCATAGGCAAGGATACCTTCCACCAGCCCTGTCCAACATGGCCTTGGACACTTCCAGGGACGGGGCAACCACAGTTTCTCTGGGCAACCTGTGCCAGGGCCTCCCCGCCTTCACAGGGAAGGATTTTTCTGTGATGTGCTCTGGGCTCTGGTTCTGCACCAGAGCTCACCAGCCCAGGGTGTGGATTTTCAACCTTCCATCACTTTGGTGCATGGTGCTTAATATCACTTCTCTCCCTGATACAGACCGTGGCTACTTGCAAAACAAACATCGTTCACCTTCTCTCTCCACCCCCACCCTGGTCCATGGGAGTGTTTTGGGGCAGGACAGTCCTTGTTTTGTTGTTTTGAATGAAGTTGAGCACAATGATGCCCTGAACTCAGCTGGGGTCTTATTATATGAATAAACACTAAGTGACTGAAGTGAAAGAATAAGCAACAATGACAACAAGGACTAAACAATCTCCATTTATTTAAACAAAATGGAGATGGGGGAATGCAGCAAGTTGGTATTTTTGCCTACTCATGTTCTTATGGAAATGAAAGTGTTTTGTCCCTCACAACCTCTCAGATTTGCAGGGGGAGATTTAGTAAGATTTCTTAGGGCAATAAAATCACACTGAAATTAGAAATAAGTCAAAGTGTGATGCCCCAAAGCAACAATGAAGCATCCTAGACCATAACAATGCTGAAATGGATAGCATGTAAGTAGGAACTAAGGAGAACTTCCAAAGATGTGCAGTGATGATGAACCTGGATAGGAAGCAAGGCAGGGTGTCCTTGCATACAGCCAGTGCTCATGCAGATGTACAATCTCTTTGCAACACCAGCCTTGGTTTTAGGTTCAGGATCTAACCAGATGCTGTGCAGGAAGCTAAAGAGGTGGAGTTTCATGAATTCTGCAAAATAAATCTTTTTTCCTAAGAACTGTTTGGCTGCAAGTAACTTTGCACTGGAATTTCTCAGATCACCAGTTCCAGCTGCAGGAACTGTCTCACTACATGGATTGGGATTATTGATTTCACTGGAAATTGGGCAAAGCTGCAGCATCGACAGCTGGGACAGGGACACATCCTCACCCAGAGCACATGGGGGAACCACAGGGAATGGTCATTCTCCACTGCACAGGGAGTACTGGAAGAAAAGTGACAAGGCAGGAAAAATACCAAGAGGAAAAAGTTGAGCCACGGCAAGACCCCTTTCCCCATGACAAGAACAAAGTCTGCATGACAGTGTTGTTCCTCCTTACACACTCCCAGCTGCCAAGGACCTAAATCTCAGAGCCCTTCTGCTCTGGGCACAGCTGGTAACTCATTTTGGAGTTAGCAGACTGGAGGGTGATGAGAAAGGCAATCCTACCTTCTTACCCGGGGAGCGGATTAAAATGAAACGGTTTTTCCTTTTAAGTAGTGCACGCAGCTCCTGGCACTTGTCATAACTCTCCAGTTCCACTGTTTCTATGCACTTCTGTTCATCCTGCAGAGAGGGAATAAAGCATTATTATGAATAGGAGGCACTGAAATCAATCATATACCATCAAACTCTGCACGTCTTCCCCTTGCATCTGTCTAAAAGCTCTTCTGCCTTAAAAATAACCTGCATGCAGATAGCAAACCCCATAAATCAGGCTGGCACCTCACTAAGAAAACACCCTGGTCTTTAAGCTACAGTTCTAGTGGTCCACAGTGGCTGGGCAAATAACAGGTTATGGACAGTAACACCAGGTTTTGCCATAGCTGTTGGCCTCATCCAGGGATCTGCAGCCAAAAGTGACACTACTTCCTCCCCACAATGAAAGGAGGAGATGTGATCCTGCTTCTTCACAGGGAAGGTGACACAAGCATCACCATGGTCCAAGCAGCCCCCCAGGAAGCCCAAGGCAGAGCAGGGATAAGAGGGGAGCCTGGCTGCCAAGCTGAGCTGGGGCGGCTGCTCCTCATGTCAAAGAAGTCAGTGGGAGCCACGTGCGATGGACAGAGTCCTCTCACAGCCACGCTCCGAGCTGTCAAAACGCTTAGGATTGGAAATACGGTCCCATACAGCCAGCAGAACTGTCTGGGCCAGTGTCTCAGCAGGGAATATTTATCTCTGGAGTATCTCCACTGATGACTGCAGGCCATGATCTTGGCTCATTTTTCCCAGTAACATAACTAAGATTCCACACGTGGTGCGTGGCTCGGTTCAGCTGCGGAGCACCATCCCTAATAGGAATCGCAGCGTAACGCTGGGCAGATAATATTCTTCATGTCTCAGTAGCCCAGCAGAGACCAGAGCTCCCTTTAGCTAAGCACAAATGAGCAGTGAGAATCTCAGAGCAGCTCTTGCTGGTGAAGTGCTACAGTCAGCATGGCCCATGAACCTCTCTGGTACCATCCCAAATTAAAACTGCTGGCCATAACCAGCCCCAGCTCAGGCTCTGCTCCCAAGGCAGTTCCTTGTACCCGTATGACTTTGTATTTAGCAATTCCTGTAGCGGAGAGGGGGTGTGGGATGAGGAAACATGTCGTAGCCAGGAAGCTGCTGCGTGGCTGGAGGCAGGGAATGGAGAGTTCAGAGGGAAGTGGGCTGCGGGGAATTTCCTCCCTTTACCACTTGACATTTAAGTTGCTGTGCAGAGCCCAGGCTGTGTTTCAGTTTTCTTAACCCTCCTACCTGGGGATGGGGGCCCAGCAGAGCCGATGCCGATACACAGAGCAAGGTCTGAGCCACCGAGGGATGTCTGGATCTAATTTAGGTTTATTATTTTAATGACATTACTGTTTATGTCATTTAACACTGAGTAGGTGAATGTGAACTGGGAAAATGCATACAAGGAGGAGGAGATTAATCCTGCCCAAACCTAAAACCCAGCCGATAAAATCCTGCTGACGCTACTGAGCCCTTTGAAGGCTCCTGCTGCAATCCTGGTATCGCAATGTCACTGCAAAAGGACAGGGATGGAAATAATAACCCCTCAGCGGCCCACAAATGACAGAGAAGGGTGAGGTCAGGAATACATGCCTCGGGGATGGGTGATCTCATCCTGGCCTTGGGTGGATGACCGCCCACGTTCCAGCCCTGCCGCGCGGCCGGTGCAGCTCCAGCTCCTTCACTGGGCTCGGGATGCGGAGGGCTTGGCAGCGCTCCGACCGGAGACCAGCACCACGGCTCCTGCCCACCCTCCCTGCTCTCAAGAGCAGCACTGTCCCCAGCAGAGCCCAGTGGCTCCCTGTCACCCTCCTTGTCCACGCCATCCTTCCTGCCTCTTGGAACTTTTCCTCTGATCCCATGCAAGCCGTCCTCCACTTCCTAAGGACTGTGGAGCACCGAGCTGGGGAGCAAGGAGGACTTGGCAGGGTGGAGAGCTGTGGTTTCACTATGAAATTGCCTCTTGCCTTCCCAGCTGCCCCCCTCCTCCCTCGGGAGGCCTTGGGGACTGTGGCCTGACCAGGGAACAAGGGCAGAGAGGACAGGGACATGCAGGACCCTGTCTCCCAGGGACACCGGTTTGAGTGTGCAAGCTATGGCTCCTTCCTCTCAGGGACCTGAACTTCCCAAGTGAGTTATCCTCTTCAGGGAGGGTGGGGAAGAAAGCAGCCAGAGAAATATAAAAACTCCAAGTCTGAGGCAAAGGCAAAGCATCTGAGTTCAGGGAGCACCAGAATGGGGCTTTTGTCTCTGTTTTACCCTTGGCAAGCAGCCATCCCCTCTCCGTGAGCCTACCTGGGTCACAAAGAGATCCTTTATGTCTGTCCTGCACCACCAAAATGAAGAATGAAGAATGAAATACCCAACCCTGTCACAGGTCTCCAGGTCCCTTCAACCTCCTGGGATGTGCAGGACACTCAGCATCACACAGAGGCAAGGTCACTTCCAGAGTCCCACCCCAACCTACAGGTGTCAGACACAAGTTCTGGACAAGCTCAGTCCTGGTACAGGAACCCCTACATTCCTGATTTAATGCAGAAAGACTATTCCATTAGCTATTCATGGAGCAGATCCTGTGACTTAAACATGTCTGTGTCTGTTGGCTTGGCCCTTAAGAAGAAAATTACTGAACACCTGGACATATTAATGCATGTGCTTAACCAAAGAATCACACTTGGCAAAGCTCCTTAAAGAAAAGTTGATAAAAAGGGCAGAAAAAGACTCCCTGAAATTTTTATTTATATGAAGGTATAATGCTCAGCAAAGATCTCCTCACTGACACACATTCACGGGCTGGGACCCTCCATTCAGTGTAAAATGTCTAGATCTGAAATAATAATTTATTTCTGTACCTGAGGCTCTCAAAGTGTTTTAATAAATCACTTTTGGGTATACCTTGCTATCACTTTACCAGGGGCAAAATACAGATGATAACTGCCTGACTGTTGAATGCCAAGTGGATCCTTTGACCTCTAAAAGACTTTGTCTAGTAGGATTTTTCCCTGTCAAATAATACACTTACAAAAAAACCCCTAAAACAGCAAGAAAACAACTCCAACCACTAGCTGCACTGTTTAGGGAAAAAAATCAAACCCAAGACTGATGCTTTCTAATCCATGGAGTGATGATATTGATCTGTTTAGTCTCTCTACATAGCATTGCCTGGTCTTCAGATGCTCTCTGTAGGGTTTTTTATTCTGGCAAGAATATGTAGAGACAAGAAGACACGAAATCCCACTAGAAAATAACCTGCTTGGTTCTCTGTGGACCTGCACAGTAGTTTCTCAGGATCCCAGTATTTGCATCAGTGCCTCCTTTCCTGAGATTTGGATATGTAATTATTATACAAATATTTTGCTTAAATGAGTCTTCATTTAGGTGAGGGTACAGATGTAGGGTGCTGTAGATGGAGGAACAGAGACAACAAGAAATCCATTTACCTTCATTTCCCACCCGCTGAAAGAAACCTGAAGCCGGGTGGGATGACTTTCACCCCATCTGCTCACAATAACCATTGGCCATTTGCCTTTAGGAGGTGGCTCTGCTTTAAACCAAACCCAAAGCCTGACTAACAGATACAACATGGGGAACACGCTCCCAGGGCAGGTCAGGAGCTCATTCCAGGAGATTGCTATTGATGATGATAAATACAGTATTTGTGTGCTGCTCAGACTGTACTTTCCAGTGACACGGTACAACATTCCTTCCTGTATCTTGTGTTGCCTGTCCCTTCTGCTCTTGTTTTGCACCTAAACCTCAGCTACAAATGCAGCCAGTCTCACGCAACTGCAACAACACGGTGGCCTGCATAGGCAACAACTGCTAAAGGCAACATCAGCACCTCTTGGTGAAGGGCTGGACACGGGAGGAGCAGATAAAAGCACAGTGAGTCCAAGGCATTAGCAGTTCCTGGAAATCTGATGGGCTCAGACCAGCTGAAATACTCACAGCCCCTAAACCTGCCCGCCCACATGGAAGCTGACCTCCCTCCCATTTAACCAATCTAGGTCTAATTTAGGATACATATGGAAATACGCCTGTATTTCTGTTGCCTGAGGTTTTATCTCCTCTCTTCTTCCAGGGCTCCAATTCAGGAAGAACTGAACAGCCACATTTTAAAATGTTTCAGCCTGAGGATGGTCTAGGATGCTGTGTCCTTCTCCAGGGTCACACAAAGCAGGTATTTGGAGAAGATCCAGGGGGGAAATGGCACCTTGAGCTCCAAAAATACAAACCACCACAGCACACTGCACCGCAGACTCTCCTTACACGCTGGCCTTTCTCATCTCAAAAACTTAGTTCCCCAATTGTAAGATGGAGACAACCACACTGCCCTGACTCACGATAAAGGAAGATAAAGACAGTAATAAACATGAACTGCCTCGATTCTGTGGCAACAAGACCCCTCCTGAGTGCAGAAAATTGCCATTTCCTTTGGTTCCCCTGTAGTAAGTCTGCACAATCACATGCTATTCTATTGTGCTACCAGATAATTTTGCAGCAATTTCCTCTCCCAAGACATCTGACTTCACTGTAAGCCAGTTTAATAGCCTATAGATATTAACATGATCCCTTATTTACAATAATGGGACCTTGCAGCTACTGTAGCTTACAGATGCAATTTATTACAGGATGTTACCACAATCCGCAGGCTACCAGAAAACATTATGCCTGGTTGTTACAAATGCCATTTTCCTTGTTTAGATAATAAAATAACCTTTTAAATGATTGGGATTTTTCCTTCTTCTGATTGTCTGTGAAAATTAATCTTACTTTAAAAGCCTCCTTTTCCCTTGTGGTAATGAGAGCCCCCATGCATCTTGTTTTTAAAGGCATGCCCTTTCCAAAAAACCTACGTCATATTCATAGATTTTGAATCTGCAAGTTCCTGAAGCTTCAGCAGGAGTCAACAGGTGTCCAGAGCACTGGCAAATGGTCTGCAGAGAGTCAACAGTTTGCAGGACCAGGCTGCTTCCCTCTGTGTATGAGAACCCCTCCCGCTTTTCCTGCCTTCTGAGCTGTTCATCACCTGACATCGACTTCTCCTGTCATTATTCTTGCGCTCTCCATGACATTTCATAGCTAAGAACAAACGCCTCCGGAAAGCTTTGGGATTTGGGAAGAGCAGGAGGGTTCAGCATAAGGGAGGAGGTAATACCCTTTCACCTAATCTGTTTATAACAAAATCTTCTTTATTAGGCAATAGTATGTTTTTAGAAAAAGAGAACCGAACTCACTGCTGGTCCCGTTGTTCCTGAAATCATCACAGCAATGCAGCTGCTGAGACATTTCCCCATTCTTCTTCCCTCGACACGCTGCACAAGATGCACTACATGATTTTGCTTTTATATCATCCTGGTGCCCACACATGACCCAGACCCCCTTGGGTCAGACACCGCACAGGCACGTGGTCCTTGTGCAGACCATGCTGCCCCATCCTGCTGCACACACAAACTTCGAGCCACCACATACCAGCAGGGCTCAGACTTATTCACCCCTCACCTCAAACCTCTCTCGGTTGAAGCTTGTGCTCTGCACTGAAATTTCTGATTTTTGGGGCAAATTCTGCTCTTGCAGAAGCTGCTTCCAGCCCAGGAACTGAGGGCCTCACTCAGGAAAGAGCCACCTCTGCAGCCCGGCAGGACCAGCCCTGCACTCTTCATTCTTCTTGCCTGAAAACGGAGCACAGATTTCACTTGGCTCTTATTTCTCATTTGTCTGGAAACAGCTCTAATCGCAGCCATGAACTCAAGGCATGCAGTTTATCTGGGGAAGTCCAGGACAAGGCTCCCAGGGGTCCTTTGCTCAGAACTGGCTCAAGTAAAGGGAAAAGATGAGCCAAATCCAGACTGTGTCCCTGCTTAAGGAGGACAGCAAACACAATATCTCCCTGCATCCATCAGTGGCTAAAAGAAACCCTGAAGAGTCTGGTTAGCAACAATTTGAGCTGCTTGAGGGGTGCCAAACAGCTGCAGGGTTGCCTGCCATCCCCTCAAGCAGCAGGTGGGAAGTCAGCCTGCTACAATCCACTTTTATCCTTCAAAAGCCAAAACCACATTGCACATATCCTGCTTCCGCCCGAAGCTTTACTCCGTTCACCTTCTCACAGGATGTCCTGCCCCCCTCTTTTTTTTTTTCTTTGGCAATGGCACTGTCAAAATATTTACTGGCTAAAATATTTATGATATATAATATACTCAAAAACACAGCTGCTGTCTCTTTTTTACAGCATTTACCCTTCCTGGAGTAAACTGAAGAAGCCCTTTTGAAAGGAATGGGCTGCAGAGAAGAGTGAAAAACACAGGGACATACATCTGTCCCCAAGGGCCTGATCCTGCCCCTCACTGAAGGCTGTTAGCTGTGACCATACCTCATCCTCGTAGACCACAAGCTGTGTTTTCCGTAGCTGGATGTAACGATCCTTCCACAATCCCAGGAGACCCCCACTGCTTTTCTTAATCCAGCCATATTTCTCTGCAGTTGGAGCAGACTTGGGTTTCTCTGACACCTCCTCCTTTGTATCCTGCAAGGAGAGAAGGGAGAAGGAATTATATTCAAAGCACTTTCCATGATGAGAAAGCCTTCCCAGAGAAGATCTCAGCACCCACCAAACGTGGTCCCTCCCCACCACATCACAAGGGAAAAGACTGGCATCTTCCAGAGGAAAACTCAACCAGCTCCCACAGGACTGGAGAGTGGGCACAGACCCCGGCCACCCCTGGGGACACTGCTGGGATGGCAGCAAGTCCACCTTGGACTCCCTCCTCTGTGCAGGTACTCCCTGCTCACTTGTGCACCAAGTGCACCTTGAAAATGAGCACCCTCCTCTCCTCTTTGCTCCTCCAGCTCTCTGATGAATCCCAGCAGCATGGATCCTGCTGGCATCAGTAGCAACACTCATATTTTAGCTCAAGGCCACTTCTGCAAGTCTCTCCTCTGGGTCTACATTTGGTCATCGTGCCCAAAACAACTCCCATGGGCAAATCCACAGCATGAGGGCCAGGACTTTATCCCATCTGCACTAAAATGTTCCTGGCAGGCTCCTGCGTGGGAAGGACTGGCAGAGAAGGCAGCACCAAGAGTGGGGGTGGGTTTTTTGTCCTCCCTTTAGCTCCTTGCTGTTTGTCACAGCCTGCTGTAGCCTGCCTGCAGCAGCACAGAGAGCTCCACTGTCCTGCACTGGGATGCTGCTGGCTTTCCAGGTCTAGTAAAAACCAGGAGCTGCAGAACTTCCCTGCATTGAAGAAACCATCAGAAAAATCCAATATCAACATTCTCGTCAAACAGAGAAACCTAAGACAGGGAGGAGGCGCAGTTGGGCTTATTAGCTGATGCCTTCACCAGCAGACTAGTTAAAGATGAGAGCTTTCCTCCTCTCCAGTGTGCTGGAAGAGCCTTTGCAGAGGCAGGATCCCCAAATCCCCTCCCTTGGAGTCCCCTGCTTCTTCCAACATCCCATGGACCTCTCAATAAGCCTCTTTCCCTCAGCAAGGTGAGGGGAGTCCCTCACTGAGCCAAATCCCTGTACACAAACACCTTGCCAACCTTGTGACTTGTCAGGAGAGGCCAAGCCCAAATCCTCCAGCCTCCTCCCAGGAACCCCACTGTCCCCCAGACTCAGTTTCCTCCATGTCTTCACCTCTAATAGCAGCAATCCTGCTGCAGAAAGCGGGCACACAAAAAGAGGATGAGTGACAAAGGAGAGTCCCAGACATGCCAAAATGGCCCTCACTCCACAAGCTGGACTGGCTGGAGCTCAGACATCATGTTTCATAACACGAGAAAATCCCACACGAATGGAAAGGAGTTGGAGCTGGACACTCCCATGGCCAGGACAGAGAGAGTAGAGATGGATGAGCTCCAAAAATTCAGAGGAGAGCCTTGCTGATGAATCTGTTTCCATGCACCAGACTCCCAGTGAACACACCCTTGGACAGCAGCTGCCATCGGGGTAAGCTGTTACTCCAAAGCGGGAGTTTGCACCCATAAAAATAGGAAAACCAGCTTAAATACACCATGGACCCACATTTATTCTGATCCCTGCTAAGCTCAGGAAGAGGCTGGGCTGTGCAGGTAGGCTCAGGGGCAGACTGGGAACAAGAAACTCAAACAAACCCTGTTTCACCTAAAAGAAAACCAGGCCAAGACCTGTAACATCCTTGTTGCGTTTTGCAGAAGTTATTTCAATTGTACTGAGCCGCGTCTGAAACGGCCACAATACAGGATGACTGAGCACCAAAAAGTTTTCCGGGAAGCGAGGGGGGACTGTGTGGCGTGGGTTTTTTTTAAACTTGACTTTTTAGGTTGCCAGGAAGTTGTATTCAGTTGAGATCTGCGACTTCAGCAAACATCAATTCCTGCACAAATATAGACCTGCTGGTTTCCTGATCGAGCACCCTTTTGATGTCATTTTTAGATAATTGGGCATGGACTTTAACCTCCCTTGTAGCAGTTTTGAATGGAGGTAGCTGTATGAAGAGTTTATTTCAGTGAGTCCAGACCAACAGTCAACAAAATGATTTTACTCTTTAAGGCTTTTCTTGCTTGGCAGATAAATTTTTGCTGTTCTTTTTCCCCACCTGGCAGAAAGGCTGAAATCACATGGTAAATATGTCTATCCATGCTCTGCTCTGCAAAGTGAAAAATGCTCTGGTTTTAAAATAAAAGTACTCCTGTGAAGACACTGCACATACCGTCTACCTCTGAAAAGCAACCCATCCCAGTAGAGCTGGGGCTCCTGCTGACACCTCTGCATGAGGCTGAGCTGGTTCGGGGTCTGGCTCACCAGCTCTCCAGCCTTCCAGAGACAGCACCTCCCCTCCATGGCATGGAAGGGTGGCCTTGAAGCTCACCCTCTTCCCAGGCCACTCCAGAGCCCTGGCTGGAGCCACCTGTCTAAATGGAGCCATGTGTGGGGCTCCCCCGACACCAGACAGGACTTCCCGCTGTGCCAGGACCTGGGAGCATCCACATGGAGGATCCATGACTTTAAGCCTCACCTGAGCAGCCCAGGGGAGGGAAGGTGAGATGGGATGCAGAGTGCTGGTCTCAGCAGATCACAGGGCATCTGCTGAGAAGCAAAGAGCTCTGCCCCTGTCGCTGCGCAGGAGTCACCTGAGCCCGAGCTGCCTCCTCCAGTCCCCCCTGTCAGGCAGAAGTGAGGGGTGTGATCCTGCACTCCAGGGGGCTGCTGAGCTGCTGGGCTCTGGGTCAGCAGCTTTCCCCTCACACACCCAGCACATCCTTAGAGGGGGGGCAGGTGCTGTAATCTGTCATCTGCATCTTAAGGATGTAAAAAAATTGTGGATGCAACTTGGCTGTTTGTTCCTGTGAAAGCAAGAAGAGTCTTGGAGATGGTTGCCTGACATTTTTTGCAGATTATTTTTATGCCACCCCTACCCTGAATCAGCGAGGGGAGGTTGGCTCCACCAGGATCAGGGCACTGAGTCCATCCTGCCCTCTCTGCTTGCAATTCCACAACTAAAACAGGAGCATGGCACAAAGACATCAGTTGCTGTTGTTAACTCAGCTGTATGTGAGCATTCTGCAAGAAACACTAACGTATCCTTCCTGGGATGTTCTTGGGCTGGATTCATTCCTGACGCTGCAGTAAATCCACGAGAAGAACCCCCCTGATATCTGCCAAGCAAGCCAGGGTAAATGAAGGAAGAACTGAGTTATCCCGATGCTGGATCATGCCAAAGGCATTGCTCCCAAAACCAATCCATAACCAAGCCATTTTTGCATCTTATATCACAGTGGCATTAGAAGTGAAACACAAGTTCCACTCTTCCAGCTTGGTTTAGCCTCACATTTCGCAGCTCAGCAGAGATCCCAAATCAGGGCGACAGGATGGCTTTTTATTTAACAATCAGGCAGTTCTTTCTCCCCTCCCTGCCTGTATTTTACAGGCCCACAAACCCACATACTCTTCATGTCTTCCAACAAAAAAAACCCCAAGAGTTGAACCACGGTGGTACTTCTAAAGTTACACACAGTGCACAGAAGTGCCTTAGCCAGTTACAGCAACTTCATTAAAGCAAGCACCTCACTTACCACACAGTCCTCTCTAGCAAGGAGCAAATGAACATCCCCCAGGAGACAACTTGCATCCCCACACCTCCACTCCTTTCCTCCCTTTCCATTTTATCTTCCAAACCTGGCTCTTAGCACTTCCACTTCTCCCCGGCTCAGAGGAGCAAAGCTGTCTCACTAGAAATTAACTGCTCAGATCCACGTGGAACTTGGGGAACTGCATCTGACACCCCCTTCTGCAAGTGCTCCCTGGAGGATCCACGTATTGGTAACGAAGAGCGGCCGGTGAGACCCTCGGTCGATGCTGGGGTGGGTGTGAAGCCCCTTTGGCCGGTGGCCACCAGCTGGAAGCAGTTTCTCTGCCGTGGATTAATTTCATGGATGCCAGCGGATAATAACAGCTCTCAGCCACTACCAACCTGGGCTGCTTTGTCGTCTCCCTGCTGTTTTAAAAGAGCTTTCATTCTTGCCACAGAATGTTTGGAGCTGAAATAAGGGAGTGCGAGGGGGGAGAGACAACCCACAGCTACCAGGATCGCATGTGCCAGAGCCTGAAGTCCTCGGGCAGTCTGTCCTACCGGGAGTGAGCTTTGTGCATGACCACCAAAACCTCATTCAAGGAAAGCAAGCAGGAATAATTGCGTGGCCAGACGAGGGGAGAAAACGACCTGTTTAACTTGCTAACAAATTGTGGCATCTTAATCAATCTGCACAGGGATGGATCACTGGGGCGTCATCCGATAGATGTGAAAAACTACGTGTGCAGGAGAAGCACTGCTGCCCTTCTCTGAGTTAACCCCGTCCCAAACAGAGAGGAGAAGAACAGAAGTGGGGAAGGCTGGAGGTGCGTAGACATGTCTGACTGTCTGACCCAGGCCCGGCTCCAGCAGGGCAGGACAACACCCCAGCGAGAGTCACACGGGATGGCCCGAGCACGCGTGGAACCAGCGCCGGCCGAGCCCGGCAGCCCCTCCCCGGCCGGCCCGGTCCAACATCCCGAGGGCTGCGGGGATGCGCTGCCGAGGCTTTGCCCGAGCCGCTCCGGGGACTGCTGGGCATGGGGACCCCCCTCCCCACGGTCTCTATCGCTGTCCCCCGAGCGGAGCGGGACCGGGATGTCCCAGCGCCGGCGGACACCCGAAAACACCCCGAAGTGGCCGGTGTGGTCCCTCCGCCCCGGCGGGCGCTTCTTCCGCCCGCCCCGGGAGTCCCCCATCCCCGAACTGTCCCGGGGGTCCCCTAGCCCCGTCCCGGGGACACTCCCCTCCCGTCCCGCTCCCGGCCGGACTCACTTGCTCCATGGCTCCTCGCCGCCCGCTCAGGGGCTCGGCCGCCGCCCCGCTGCCCCGCTGGGCTCCGGGCGGACGGTCATGCCGGGGGGTGCCGGGCCGGGCCCCGCTGCTCTCGCCTCCGCAACAACTTCTCGGGGAGCCGGAGCCGCGGCAGCAGCAGCACCGCCGGGTTTCCGGCGGCTCCGGCGCTGCCAGCGAGGAGGCGGGGATGCCCCCGCCGCCGGCCCCGGCCCCGCCGCCGCCGCCTGGCCCGGCCCCCCCGCCTGGCCCGGCCCCGGCCCCCCCCCCGCCGCAGGCGTGGGGCTGGGAGCCCCCGGGACAGGCTGAGACTAAGCCCGAGGAAGGGGGATGAACGGGGTCCCTGCGCTCAGACGGCGGCTGCGAGGTGGGGCATGGACTGTGGAATAGGACAGGATACCCGGGGCGGGACATGGAGCTGGGGTGGGAGAGGTCCCCAGGGTCAGATAGGGTCACTAGGCATCAGGCCAGACGCCCGTGGTAGGACAGTGTATTTGAAATCGAAGGGTCCCTGAAATTGGAAGGTCCCCAGGATCAGGCAGGGTCCCTGGTGTCCATCAGGGTCCCCAGGGTGCAATAGGATACCCGGGGTTGGGCAGGGTCCCTGGGGTCAGATAAGGTCCCTGTGGTCAGGCAGGGTCCCCAGGGATCAGACCAGAGCCCCGTTGTAGGGCAGTCCCTGAAATCAGCAGGTCCCACAGGTCAGGCAGGGTCCATGAGGTCTGACAGGGTCCCCAGGGATCAGATAGGGTCCCCAGAGATCAGGCCAGACCTCTGTAGTAGGACAATGTCCCTGAAATCAAAGACTTCTCAGGATCAGGCAGGGTCCTGGGGGTCAGAGGAGGTCCAGGGTGGGACAGTGTCCCTGGGGCTGAGGTCAGGTCAGGTCCCAGAAGCAGCAGGACAGGGAATGGGGTGCAGAGAGGTGAGGGATGCTCCACAAAGCTGGCATGGAGCAATGCCCAGGTCTCACGTGTAGCCATGTGGCTCCCACAGCCACAGCGATGGCTCCTGGCCATGGGGTGCTCTCTGGATTTCAGTGGATTTCAGCAGAGGGGTGATGCCATTCCATTCACCCAAGAATAACAGCAGGGGAATGGTCTTCAGTGGCAGAACTGGTTAACACAACTAGTCACGCTCAGAGCTATTGTTCTCCACTGGTATTCAGCTTTGCAGACTTCTGCAGCTATTTCAGGCCTGCTGGAGGGCTCATGTACCCAACAGCCTGCCTGGTTTTTCTTCTAATTATTTCAGTCAGTCTAAAAAAAGATATTACCTCCCTCTGCAAACCTTGCCTCCATTGTTCTCAGCAGAGAAAATAAGAGAGAAAGGAGAAGAAAAGTCTGACATCCTCTACCTCCAGGTTAAACCCTCTTCTGCATAGGTATGGGAAGCGCTGGGGGGAAAAACAGGAGGCAGCTTCTGCTAACCAGAGGTAGAAGGGATAGCAGAGCATCCATCAGGGCTGACTACCCCCATCCTGCAGGGCCAGGGGTTAATGGAGGAGCTGGGAATCACCCTGGGACACACCAGGACTTGAAATGAGAAATCCTGGTGCTGTCAAGGCGCGTTGACAGGAAAATGATTGCCATGTCAGCAGAAAGATATCCCACATGGGAGGGAGCAGCTAATAGCTGTGCTGGGTTTTGACAAGAGGCTGAGGCACCAAACACACTCAGAAAAGCAAACGCAGGACAGACAGGGTCTAACTGGCTGTCACTGGTGTGAGTGGGGAGAGAAGATCAAGAGTGGGAATCCATCATACTGACCACCATGGTCAGGGCATTACCCACACACTGCACTCACCCTCTTTCTCCTCTCACCTGCAAGATTTTGGGGCAGGACCCCCCAGTTTGCTTTACTTGCACAGGGCTGAAGGAGCAGCAGGGGCAGAGCCAGAACTAGAGCTCCTAAGAGAAACTACACACAAATAATTATTAGTGATAATTAGCAAAAGCACACTGATGACATCTCCTTCCTATCAGCTTAGCTCCGGGTTTGGCAAAGGCTCTGGTCTTGCTGAGACGTCCTCTTGTTGTGTAAACACCTTCTGTGGCCTCCCCTGCTTCTCCTCCATGGTCAAGAGCCAAACTGGGCTAAGAAAATGCTGCCATGAACGTCAGTGATGGCATGGAGGGGCCTGGCCAGTAGCCAGGAGGGTTGTGAGCATCCTTCGGATTCCTCCTTTACCCAGCACAACAGGCACCTCTGAGAGATATGACAAGAAAATCATCATTCAGAGCTGTCACCAAGCCAGGGTTAGCTCTCTGCTGCCTAAGACCAGGTAAGAGCTGGTTTAAAAACATGTTTTCTTGTTTGATTTTCCGAGCCATCAAAATGGGGCTTTGGGTAGGGAGTGGGAGCATCCCAGCTCACGTGCAGCCTTCTCGGTGGGAGTGTGAGAGCAAGACAGGGTGTCACAGTGCTGAGTTTGGCTCCAGGATGGTGCCAGACATCACAAAATGAACAACTGAAAAAAGGTGATAATTTAGCCAGGCTTTTAAAATGACCGAAAAAAGACCCAAAGTACCAGAAACGTTGTTCAGTAATCTCTGTTTTCCCGGCAGGGCTGGGGGAGGTGAGGGGAAACCTCTGGCTGCACAGATAGGGTGTGGGCTGTGGTTCCAACTCTTCTGGAAAATTTTAATCGGTCAAAAAGTGGAGAATATTTTTAGCATACCATCAACGTGCATGTGAGGACATGTGTGCTGTAAGAGCATGTGCTGCAGAGGCCACATCCCTGTGATTTATCAGCTATCCTCACACTTGCAGGCAGACCTGGAGAGACCCACTCTGATCCCACCAGCAGGAACACAGGAGCAGCTGCTGCAGGGAGACCTGTCATATATAAGAGGATGCTCAGCACAGAAGAACATGGAGGTTGGTCCAAAAATGCTGCAGGGAGAGGCTTTGGGCACCTGTCTGCAGCCAGGTCAGGCTGCCTTGTTGTCTTCTTCACTGATAAGAGATGGTGGAATGCTGCTGCCGCAAAGTCAAACAGAGTCACGAGTGACGCCAGGGAGGGTGGGCTGGTGAGTCACAAACTGAGGAAGTTTCTATGCAAGGGGACCCATGAGTCCTCCTGTTCCACACCTCACTGTCAGCATTTGGGGTCTGGGAAAACTTGGGAGGCAGGATGCAGAGGAGGATGGGGGTGCCGGGTGCTCTGGCCGCAGAGACACAGCTTCCCCAAAGCCACTCAGGGCTGAGACAGGACTGAGATGGGTGGGGAGTCCCTCCTGCCATCCCAAACGTGGGCAAACCAGTCTCCCCAGCCACAGACACCACATGAGAAAGCTGTGGTTGCCCTCGCGTCTACCTGCCATCCTTTCCCTGCTCCAGGCAGGGAGCTCCGGCTCCTGCATCCAACCCGAGGTACCTCGTGACCAGGGTCAGCCACTCCACCTGCTCTCGCCTTGGTTTTCCTCCACCTCAAATGGCAATAACCCATCTCCGAGGTGCTGAGAAGCCAAGTTCATTAGTGCCTGGCTTCGTTAATTGCTTTCAGCAGGGCTGGAAAGACAGAGACTCATTATGGCAATTGCCCTGTTATCTGCTCATCTTTGGGGAGGAGGAGGTGGACATGCTGGTGAGGCTGGACGGCAGTCCTGGGCTCACGGTGGCCACAGGGCTCCTGCTCTGAGATGGAGGAGAAATCCTCAACCCCTTCACATGCACAGCAAATTAATGTGGATGCTCTTAATTTCATCTATTTGGTTGGGGCTAAAATAAAGAGGCCCAGAAAAAGTGCTGAGTCTGAATGGATGCTCAAGGGTAGGGCTGAATTCAGGCTCTCGACGCCAAGTAGAGCCCATGGCACCTTCTGCTCACAGCTGCAGTGTGTTTGTGGGGATAAACCATTTCTCAGGTGGAGCACAGTCCTCTAAACTACATGTGCTAGACAAGAACTGTGAAGGTGGCCACATCCTTGGGTGATGCACAGGGAATTAACAGCTGCAGAGGCTAAAGGAGATGGGAGACCACAGATAAGGGGCTAACATGGAAGAAGGGCTCTCTTCACTTCCCTGTCTGCTTTCTGGGTTTAAATGTTGTGTTTTATGGACAAACCATCTGAAAGGTTGGTGTTTATAGTCACAGTCCCTACTGCAGCAGGGCAATCGGAGTTAGCACGCCTGGGTTGGGGTTTGGCCGGGAGCTCCTGACCTGCCTAAGTCCTGGTTCTACCTGTTTTCCTCTTGGCTGATACTAGTCCAAGGTTCTGCCCAAATTAAACCTGGGCTTTCCAGCCACTCGTGCTCCCTATTTTAGTTACACATTTGAAAGAGAAGACCCAGCTATCTGCCACAGCCATCAGCCTGCAAGTGCCTGCAGGAACTTGTGTGCTCTCCCTGCTGATCTTGCTGATTTTGTAAGGAAAAGCAGTCCTGCAGAGGACATCTGGTGCTCACAGGAGGG